ATTATTCATATATTTATATATGCGACTTTTTTGGAGAATAATAACTAATATATTAATAACTCTATATTAACAGAATAATACTGAATTTAGTGCTGATATGTCCAATGAAGTGATCAATTATTGCAATATTACTATTGCAAGTAATTTTAGAGTAACGGAAATTGATTATTAGAAACTGCGGGTGTTGTAGGTTGAACATGCAATATTTTCACTTCACACTAGTTTGTACAAATGCTCAAAAAGACAGTAATTTGTTTGTATTTAAATATTAATAGTATATCCTATGTGAGTGAATATCATATTTATATACAAGGAGCGAACGTATTTGAGTTTATTAATCCGATCCAACGTTAAATAACGTAGTATAAAGCAAATGTCTGGTTCAGACAAGAATTGGAAAAGCCACCCGTCCATTAAAAATTTGTACTATATTAATATTTGGTTTTTAGCGCGCATGTTCGACTTTTTCGATGGGGGAATCATGGAAGGTCTTCAATACAAGCTTATGTGTATGACGCAAGCCCGGACTTTGGGCCAGATTAGTGGACATGGGGAACTCATCCATCTTCAGAACCAAATATTAGCACGAAGAACCGATTCGGTAGGAAACAGAGAATTGCTTGTTCGATGGCACCCAGTTGATGTGTAAGTATCTATGTACTGCTTTATGTGTGATCAAACTAGAGGGTTATCGATGATATTAACCCATTAGCGCCCACATGGTTACAGCTGCAAGGTAGTTTTCAAAGCTCAAATGTATTATTGACTGGCCACTATTTTAATAAATGATTGAGCACGTGGACCTTCCTCTGCTAAATCATTTAGCTGTTTCAGGTTGCATTGATCCAACGGGTTTAGTTTCGATAATATTTTCGTTTTGGTTAAAGTGCGGTGGAACTTCGAATTGAGTAACTATAGCTCACTATATAGCTATAGTTCGAAACTCCACGTAACAGTGTACAGTAACATACCAAGTAAACATCATGTTTATAATTACATGCTGCAAAAGCGTTTCTTGAAAATTTGCGGTTTAACCGTTTCACCGCCAATGCACGCCCTGATGCAACAGATGACATTTTGCATTTGGAGAATGCATTTAGTTTGAGGGATGCAATTTTCATGTTAAAACCATGTACCAGAAGTGCAATATAAGCCTTGCAAATTGCAATTAAATTACGTTTTTGATTTTTTCCTAAAATGCTCTCACAAAGGCCTAGCGTAACCATATGGTAACTCCATTTTCTAGAAAAACTATGTCGAAAAAATTAATACTTGCATTTAGAGCTGATTCACTTGGAAAATACAAATATCAGTTTAATTAAAGAAAAAAATAATTCCAGCGTTCAAGGGGTAAAATCTTAACTTTCTCACATTTACAAAGTGAAGTGGTTTATAGTTATGCAATACAATGATTTTTGAATGTCCAATGGGGCGTGTTAGTTAGTACATATCATTTCAGTTTCGATCAAAGAAGCAAGATCATTTTAATTGAGGGATATAATAGAGGAACCTTGTTTGCAGAACCCCTGATGAATGGATCTCAGAAAAAGAGTACAAACCGACAAAGGCATTGAGAATTCCGACATTATCGACCACGTCGCGCGAGGCACTGAATCCGATTCTGTTTCCTTCCAGCCAAAGACAGTCGGGCCAGAAGCACCGCAGAAAGCCTCTCAAATTCACGTGATAGTAACTTAGTAAGTAACTCTTGTACATAGAATGTTCATTCCGAAACCGGAATTCTTAACAAAGTTGTCTAATAGTTCCGTGAACAAGTTCTTCATTTTAATCCAATGTACAGATAGATGTCGCTTGTCTTCGTTTTCAATTGGTTATATTTAGACAATTTTATTTTTGAATTCTGAACAACGGGATATCTTAATATTTATAGTAAGCGCCTTGAGTTATATAGCTGCCGTGGTCTTTTTTGACCACAGTGATCTACATTAAATGGTCATTATTATTAGGAACGCTAGTAGCAGCAGTTTATAATCAAATTTAGGTTTTATTTATTAATTTTGCTCTGATAGGGGCGCATACCTGAAAATCAAAACCAAAACAAAAAGCCACATGTTTTGAAACACTATGCAAAATCGCCGGTTTGTATTCTTTCAATTTCAACATGTGAAGCTTTTATTGACAAATTTTAAAGACTGTTATTTTAGACTAAGTTCAAAAGGACACATTTATTTACTTGAAGTATTTAAAATTAGTATGATTTTTTTAAGACTGCGACGCATTTAGCATTTTAAATTAGGTTAATTATACAACTGCTGTTACTGACGAAAAAATGATAAAACTCGTCGTACAAAACCTATCAAGAAGCGCAGAGTTGCCAGAATGATAATTCACTTTAAAGTAATAAGTCTAGTTCATCATCAAAATGTGCACATCTTATTATGGTCTTTAATCAGCTCTAAAGGAACGTTCTCATGTTCAGGCAGTATCAGAATCTGCAGTTTTGAAAGTAATCAATATTCATTAAGAATTCGAAAAACACACACAATTAGTTCATGTCCCCAAACTCTGATAAAAAGTTAATCAAAAATCACTGTTCGTTAAAAGTTCGAAAAGTACTTCTTTGTCAAATTAGGTCCATTTTAAAAGTCGTATTCATATTTTGCAATATTTATGTAAAAATGGTTTTTTAATTGAAACCAAACGATATGAAATAAAAATTCAATGGCAATGTTCAATTATTTCGAAACAGCAAGTAGTTTAATCATATATAATCATTCTTGATTGCTGTAGCTTCTTAGATCATCATAATGAGTATGAAAACTTAATTGTTTCTTGTTTTGTAGTCTGCACAAAAACTTTCTTTCCTGTCTTGTAGGGTATAGAATTCCCTAAGAAGAAACTTTTAGAGAATTTGGAAAGCGATTTTTGACTTATTTTTTATCATAGGCCACACTCTGTAAGAGTTTGATCTGTACGTGGTTACTGTGCTCAGCTAATTAAATTATTATTATTAATTAATATATTACGCCTGTATTGAGGACAGTGTTTATTCTGTGCACTAACAGTCTGTACAACTGAGAGATAAATTTTGAAGTTTCTGGGCTTTGTCGAAGAAAATGTATTTATCTATAGATAGTTTCAGCAAACCGTGAAAAGTTAAACGTTTGTAAGATATTTTTTGCTAAAACCGACCTAATCAATAATGAAACGATTGACTCGCTACGATAACAGACTCTTTGGCGCACTTTTCAAAATTACAACAGAGTTTTGTGACTTTTGCTATCTACATAGATATGCAAATATTTCATTTGCGAGTTACTTTAAATAATTTCTTTCTCGAAATTTAAAACTGCAGAACATATAAACACATTAGTTTGAAACAGATGCTTTAAGGTGGAATACAAAGAAATATCTACTTGTATGTGAGTAATATAAATTTTAATTATTTAATAAAGTAATTTTGCGACTCATGGCTTTTTTGTAGGACGTCTTTTTTCAAGCTGTTCCCGCAATATGTATGCCTTTTTAAATAAGAAAACCGTTAGTTTGCCAATATCTATCGGGCTAAAATTAATATATTTTTTTTTGGTAAAATATAAATGAGAAGAAGAGTATACATCTTAACTGAATTAATTATTCTAGAACTCACAAATCTGGTAGATTTTGTAAAACGACACAATCAGGTAGACTTGAAGAGCGTTGTAAACATTGGTGCGCAAATTGTTATTCCAAGCGATATAAAATGAAACCATAAAATAACATAAAAACTTTAAATTGCCGTCGCCGTTCAAATTGCACCCACAAAATATACGTTTTTACCATTTCTATACTTATTAGTGTCTTTCTTCTAATGCCCTCTTTAAATTTCCAATTGGCCAAACAATTTCCATGCAGTTTGTAGAAAATATAAAAATACTCAATCAAGGTTTTCTATTGCTCGGAATAGCAATCGAATTGTGAATATATTTGAATTGTACGTGTGAAAACTTCACAAATTAGGCTGTATGTATATTGTAAGTAAAGAGTAAGTTAGGATAATGAGTATAAATAGGGCCGATCGGTTTTGAGAATGACTTTGATCATTTAAGCAACCAGTTTAGCCGCCACTGCCATTAACGTGGATTCCAGGTTTTTGGAACCTTTTAAGTAGGTAAATATTATTCGTATAAGTAGGTTCATTTTTTTAGTTAAACAAATTATGTGTTTGCAATAAAACGGAAACTTTAATCTTAGGTCATTGTAAATGTGAATTGTGCATCTAATCAAGCGAAGTATAACCGATAGGATATGGAACTACTTCGCTTGAGTTCAGTAAGGTAAGGCACCATCTTTATAGTCACAGTGATGAAAATACCGTTTTAGTCTGTTTGTGCATTCATAAACAAAGTTTTGCTGTAACTGTTATAAATATAAACTTGTTTTTAGCAAATATGATGTATATCTTATACAATACATACTGCTTATTTACATACAAGTACTGTATGTATACAGATACTGTATGTAAACTGCATCTGGAATTTATAAATTTCTGGAAACTACACCATACAATCTCACTTAACTGCATCGTTTTAATATTTCTATCTCTCTAATTTGCCTCAAAAATCTTTAACCAATATTTTTCTGTGTTCAACAAAAAAATATGAGGATGTTTAGCAAAACCCTTCAAAAGTATGATAAAATAACACAAAATAATGTAAAATAATACAAAATAACAAACATTTTCAGTAAAAAAGTGTTTTTAAAACTCGCTAAATATCCCGATGCATTTAAAATTAAATACCCTGCGGACAAGATTTAATTAAAATTCCAAAAACTTTGCATAATCTTGCTCATCAATTGCAAGACTGCCACAGTGATTGTAAAGATGGTTACAATAAGTTGTATTTAAAACAATTATTTTGTTAACATCAGCGTAAGATCTCTTTTGCTTATACCATCAATATATCGGCTATGGGCATGTTCTCCCTTAGTATTTTGTGTTAAAATCCGTCAGCATAAGATTGTGTATCTGAACTGCAATTTTTGTTTTTATGCTAGTTTTATATGGCTCAACCTAAAGTAATTTAATTTGGCGATTATATCTTTCAACTAACACTGCCATTAGAGCTGCCAATAAACGTACTACGATCAAATTAGGTATATTTTTTGCCATGACAATACAAATTTTTTATTATTTGTATTACTATTTAAACTAATTTGGTTAGTGTGCCATTTAGTGAATTTTGGCAAATCAATTTCTTTTTGGCGCTTTTGACTATTTAAGCAATGGCTGTATTTACTTAAGCAGACCGTGTGTGTTCAACAATTATAGCCATCAAGAATTGATCTGCTCATGTTTCCCATCCGAATAATCTATATTAAATTATGCGTTTTTAATTTAATTCGTATTTTATTAAGTAGCATCAAAGTTCAAGTTGATCTCAACACGTGTTCTATATAAATTAGGGATAATTTTTTGAAATTGCAACTCAAGTTTAATTTCCTTCGATTTGGCCTTTTTGAAACGAAGCTAATCCAAAACAGGGTGACCTTTAAAAAGTGCTACGAATAAATATTGAAGGAACGGCAGATTTAGAATAAAACTACACTTTAAAAAGACCACCTTGTTTGTTATCAAAAAATATTAAAATCAATTCAAGAAGTATCAAAAAAGGGTTCTCTCGGACTATCGTTATGAACTATTGTCATTTTTTTAAACTATAAATCGCATCAAAGAACTCAATCATTTTTTTATCTAACTAATCAAGTACTTAACAGACTTTGATGTATTTTAATTCGAAATCATCTGAGTTATTTGCTCATTATATTCCCTTTTTAATTCTGCTATGGACCGACTGAAAAGACGATCTTTTGCATAGACGTAATCGGTCATTTGAAATTTCTCAAATCAATCAGATTAAGTTATCCGAAGATACGACAACTATAAAATCCCGCTAAGCATGTAATGTTCACAAGTGTTTCTCACTGCCTTCAAAGCGTGTTTATTCTTGCAAACATTATTATCTAATTAAAAATATCAACAGTTTTGGTAATGTGGCTCAGCACCTATCGAATCTGATAATTACTAAAATGAATAGATGGTCGTTTTCAAAGAGATCACGCCTCAGCTGTTAATTTTGAGTTTAAATTCTAAATCATAACAATAAAACTAAAAGCCATTTATTTAGTTCTTCCAATAAATCCAACATAATTTGACTAATAAACTAAGCAAAAGTATTGGTCGCATATCCTTTTCAAGAATATTAAACCCACGTATAACTGAACGCCTTATCCAATTTAGACGGGAAAAAATCAGCTTTTCTTGCAAATAAATTGCGCAAATGTCACAATGATAGTATTAACTTTGATTGATGCAACTATCACCAAATTTATGTTACCGATAACAATAAATTGCCTTTTCAAACTCAGTAATATGTACATAAAGTATCAAATAGTACTTAACTTAATATCATGCAATCATGCATAAAATAGGCAAATATGAATGGAGTTTTTACATAATTTGTATTAGTCAATTTTATTAATTGAAATATTAGAGTGACTAATGTTAGTCTTCGTAACTGAAATAAATCTGTTTACTGATCGTTAACATTAAAATCCGATAATCGTTGTAAATATTCTTATCTTTTATAAGGAACAAACTTCAAATCGATTCGTATCTTCGGACTTTTTAAGGATTTAATAAAGTGGTATCAAAAAAGCATATTTAAGCTAAAAATTATTTTCTAAACAAACGTATTCTTTTACATGGCATTTAGTAACCAATACAAAAATTAAGACTGTTCAAATAAAATATCGTATAACATTAGTGAAATTTTATACTAGTTGCATTTTGTATAAAGTATATTTGTGTTCATTTTATGTATCTTCTTATTAGTATATCTGAGGTAAATCACAAGTGAATTACACTTCAGAAGTTACTTTATTAAATTTAAATTCATTGGAGATTGTTTAAAGGATTGCTTGAGTCAAAGAATTTAACCTAACGTTAAATAGAAGTATAGAAATATGTAAGGGTTTTGTAGTTTACTAAACGCACCTGAACAGATGCGTTTTGTAAAGTCCGGTTTTGTTCGACTAAAAGTAAGTGTTAGTGAATGAATAGAGTATTTAAAAATCAGGTTGTATAAAATGCTTGAAGTTATTAAATGTAAACTTGCCACTTAAGACAATTATTTCCTTCTTGTATAATTTTCATATTAAAGTAACTTTAATTTAATTGGTGTACCTATACTTACATATAAAATTTGTTAGCAGTTATACGATTATGTATCAGCTTTGTGTTTAGATCACCAATCGTTTGGTTCTAAACAGGTTTGACAAATACATATGAAATGCAATGGATCGTAGATAAGAATGATTACTGTAGTGATATTGTTTGAAAGAAATATATTATATCCTGTCTCTGGAATTTGAAACAATTTCCATTCTGTATATATTTTATTTATAATTAGGTATTTTAATTTTAATGTCGATCTTATTAAAAAAATTAAATGATCCTGTTTTTTTATTGGCTAGAATATAAACAAATTCTACCTCACTGATTATTCTAGGTTTTACATAACTTTGTAAGTTGTCTTAATTTTTGTAACTTACACTCTCTTAATAATATCTGTACGAATCTAAGACTGTACTGCAGTGAGGATTTTAGTTTCCACTATAGATTTGCGCCTAACTGCATTTTTATTGTGATTCGACAGTATGATTTTAAGGATATTTTAATTGTATTTAAATAAATTTGTGTAAATAATAATCGCTGTTTTTTTATCAATAATTCACTTATAACTGTTTGAGTTTGTACGGTCGTAATCGAATCATAATGTTTCCATTGATGCATTTCCCAAAAGTAACCATAAAAATATGTTTATTTCATTGATAAATGTGTTGTTTTAGTTATTTTAAGTATTTTTTCAAAAAGTCGGGACAATTATGCTTACTATAATCCAATAAAAATATTTCTGCCAAAATCAAAATATTATTTATTGATGTAACAAACGCTACACGGAAATATTATAATACTATACGTTAAACAAAGTTTCACAAACTAACTATTTTTGCGGAAAGAAGATAAATATTTTTAAAAGCTTACCCCTTTATTGCGTTGAACTATATTAGAAACTAACAGGATAAGACATGGCATACAAGAAATGCATGCCAGTTTGGAATTTTCAATTGGGCAGTGCCAACGACATAAAACTATTGAAAATAAAATGTATGGATTCTGCTGCTATTGAAATCAAAATTATTCCAGTTAAACCATTTGCCATTCGACTACTGAAAGGGAAACAATGGCTTGTTCAAACCAAAAGAAAACATATTTTCGCCTCCGAAAGGCCCTGACTCGGCTGTGTCGGACTGCTCGTCTTGATCACTAACATCTAAAAACGTTTTGAATTAACACTGGCGATGCCACTTATATTTCCACCACTATTTTATTTGATTTACGTTTATATAATAAGCGAGATTGAAATTATAACAGCACGTCATAATTTGAAGTTGTCTTCAGAACATGTTAGAAAAATCTGAGTAAAATGCTTTAGATTTATTTTTACCTTCATAGAATTTAAAACCAGATGTCGAATTGTTGAAATCGGATTCTGTATTATTGAAATCGTCCTTTGATAAATTGGACATCACTTCTTCTGTTTGCTGAAATTGTAAAGAACACAAAGCATAAGATGTTCGCGATGGAATTTTTCAAGGAAGTTGCAAAAATCGATATTAATCGGCATCAATATATGATGTTTAAAATTAATTAACTGAAAGTGTTATAATTCTAGTATGTTGTTCTATTAACGTAGTACTAAGGAGTCTACTAAGTCCACAAAGAAGACTAGGTATATACATATATCGAGCCAACAAAATGATTATTCTTATACCTTAGAGTCTAATGTGTTGTTGAGGTCTGTTTTTCTGTCCAAGAAAGATTGGAACGGATTTTGAAACATAGCTTGAGAAAACATCCCGCTGCTCTCTTTGGCTTTTTGGCACATGGATTCTACATTAAATCGAACTGACTTGGACTCCGCAACATTCCTACTCATCATCTGATCATACGATTCCTCATTCTGATTTTTCACTTCCGTAGCTAATATAATTGACTTTTGGTTTATCGCAAGCGGTGGCATCGATTGATCGTCGCTAACAACCGGAAGACTCGTCTAAAATGAATAGCGCGAATGAATTGAAGTATAAAATATATGTATATCTTAATTTCAAATAGAATTTAACACACTTAACCGCATTACTTTAGCAATTGTTGACGATTCTGTATTTATGTAAATAAGTTTCAAGCAACAAACAATGCGCATGTAACAAACTCTCAAATTAATATACTCGAAGCAATAAGTGCGGATCATTGAAATCGAAAATAGTATATAAGAAAAACGAAAACTTACTATTTTATCGGCCGATCGGCTCTGTTGGAACGATTGTTCCAAATCTGACTTTTCAGACAACTGAGCCATCTCAGAGTCTTCGGCTTGTGGAGAAAGTTGATCTTGGAAGCCCAAATTCTTGATCATTGATTGCCATTTTTTAGACAGTTTGATTACTCTTGTTTGACGCATTTCAGGTGAATCGAACTGGGGAAGCGTTGTAATAACTGGTGTAACCATCTTCTGTTCGATAATGCAAAGATTTTTATATATGAATAACAGGAAATATGTATAAACACTTACTGCTGGGACGCGACTTTGTGCTTCCTCTGACAATTGACCAGCTTCCGACTGTTGAGTCGATTGAATTGCTATGGATTCATCCACTTGTGGAGAACTAGGCTTTTTAGATCCTGTAGTTTTAACTAATCTTTGCAGGGTTTTAGAGAAATTATTAATTGGTTCGGGATTTTCTGGGATAACAAAGTGAGGGGCTGTTATTGCTGGTGCAACCACCTGTTCAATAATTCGAACTTTTCTGGGTATTTCAACGGGCTCTACCTCCTCTGCCTCCCGAAGTATATTGAGTTTTTCACGCAAATTAGGTATCGCTTTTGTAAGCTGCAGAGGTTCTACAAAAGTATTAAACGTTCATTTTGCAAATATAGAATATTGCAAAAGTGCTAATAAATCCTACGCTAAATTAAGTTTTTTCAATAATGTATATTGTTTATAAGAATACAGAATGCGATTAAAATTGTACAGAAAGCTATCGTAGAGAATATATGTTAAGCTAAGCAAAAACTTATATCACAAATATAAATTCACGTTGCATACATTGTAGAGATACTGTTGTCAGAGTGTTTTCGAATTTTACTACTAACTTAAATTGATGGGATTAATGAAATGGAGAATGTACCTATCTATTATAATACAAAAAATGTACAATTTTAATACTAAATATGTATGTGTGTTGCAAGTACTTATACGCTGAACTATTGAATAAATAAATCACTTTATCTTTTCCACTAAATAGCTGTATAAATGAAGTATGTAGGGTAGAGTTTCGGTTAAACCGACTTGAGACTTTCATTTCAGCTACACTAAATTATACTTTTACTTAAAGTAATTAATTCATATGTTTTTAATCTAATAACATATCAGTTTAAAAAAAACTTGCATAGTTTTTCGTAAAAAGGAAAAATTAAAGGAAGTTGGGTTTATACGAAGGTGCCCCATGATGGGGCAGTTTTGGACACGCATGAGGTAAATTCGGACATACAGGGTGATTCAGAATTGGCGTCATTCCTCTGGAGGTGTTGTCTGGCGGTTTTTTTTCAATTTCAATATTGTGTTTCTTTGAAAAGTACATTTTGATGATTTTAACTTTATTACTTAAACCTACTAAAACAAACATTATGTCTCAAAAAAAGGTAGGTAACTAATTAAAAACAGTTTTTGTTATTAAAATCATAAAAGATGGAAAATTATTTAAAATCTAAAGAACGAAATTCACATTTTTTATTTATTTAGAATTTTAGAAAACTAGCCAGGCGAGTATTCCCAGCAACAGAATGGGGCAACAGCAACTGGGCAGTTTTGGCTCTATGCCACATCTTGCGATTGTTGAAATATCAACCACAGTGGGAAAGTGGAAACGATTGCAAATGTCTTAAATATTTTGCAACAAACTGCAGCCGTATTCTGCAAGCTGTATCACTTGTCCGACGTAATAAACAATTGTTTTTTTTTCGAGGAAAATTTAAACAAACCGTAACATAAAATCTCATCATCTGCAAATTAAACAATAAAAAAAACTTTGTAATTTTGTTCCTACAAGCTTAGCAAATTCATCGCAATCGGATTCCATGGCAATATCTGAGTCAGATGAAGAGCCAAGAAATTTTTTTTTTCAGAAATTTCAAAATCTGAATTCAAATCTCAGGACGTGTCACTTTCTTTTGCTCTTTTCGTTGCCTTGCTGATATTTTTTTTCGTTTCTTGACATAGTTCCTAACCTTCTTAAATACATTTTATATGTTGGGTAGCTAATTTCAAATGAAACAAGCTAATTTTGAATAACATAAACTATAAATTAATAGGTGGGGCACTTTCGGATATGTCGGATATGCCTCACATGCACAAAATGTAAAAAACCGAAGAAATAAAAAATTATGCTGTTGCGGCTTTTTGAAATATACATAGTGTACGTGCTAAAAATGATTATACGTTTTTCGTATGCCACTTTAAAACCAAAAAATTACAACACCAAATAGCACAAAACCTTACGAATAGATCAATATAATACTTACTTGACACTGTTTATTACTTTTGCTAATAATTTTTAAGTTGCTTTAAATACCGGCATAAAATTATACGCCACGGCGTGAAATACGCAGTCACTAACTGTTTAAATACCGAATCACGTTTCGTTTTTAAAGGAGGTAAATTTAAATCGTCCGGAGGTGCCCCATGTCTGAACCTGCCCATTACTTACGTTGTTGTTTCAAAACTAGTGGAGTTGGTGTTTGAATTTTATTGTGGCTTGATGGCCTTTCATTGGCTTGGGGCTGCTCTTCGATGTGATCACTCTGGCTTCCGAACTAGAAAAAATCAAACCAGCTAATAAAAAAAATGTATGTATGTATTGAATACAGTTTAAATAGATCGTCGTATTTTATTTCGTGGGATTTAAACGGTTTTGAAGAAAGTAATGATAATAAGCGATATTAATTTTAAAAAGTTTTTGACATTAAAAACTTACTATAATATTTTTAAACATTTCCATTTTGGGAATAGCCAGTTTTTTTTTGGCTTTCAGATTTTCCTGATATTCGTAAACTCTTTTAATTGCAATCAATTTCTGCTTCTTTAACTCTTGCAGTTCTTTCATCTTCTTGTCCACAAGATAGTCTTCAGCCATGCGAATGAAAAAAGCATAATACCTTTTTTCCTGAATCGCTCGCTTTTCAGCAATAATTTTTTTTTTCTGTGCAATCTGCAGCTTTAGGCTTCGTAGCTCTATGTTAGCTTTGCGAAATTTAACCTAAAGAAGATCGTGCTGTATTAAGAGCAATTTATTAAGCTTACTGAACTTGCAACTGAATCAGTTTCAATAGAATATTGGTGTGCAAGTATTTATATTTCCCAATTATACCTTTGCCTTTTCCAACTCTTTGAATAGTGGATTATCAGTAATTTTCGATCTAGAACGTTCATAAAGATCACGAAATTCGTTTTCTATTTGTTGAAACTCTGTTTGCTTTGCTTTCAGTTCTTTAGAAAGCATTTTGTCCAACGTCTGATGATTTATTAGCGACTCAGTTAACACATTTTGATTTTCGCGCAAACTGAAAATTTAGTCACTGTGTAGTGTGTACAATGTCGGTTTTTGACTCACAAAAAATGTATTAAAATCGATTATAAAATAAATATTAGATGTTGAACCAAAGGTTACCTTTTCAAAATAAAATCTATTTGTTCCAGCTGCTTTTGAGCTTCTTTGTCTTCATGATTAATTCGTCTAATATCTTTCTGTATCAAGTTAATTTCAGCCGTATCAGTCTCAATCATGTCCTTGTAATCTTGTAAAAAAATCCATTAAAAATGTACAATTAAAATAATAATAATATGCTTGTTCCAAAACTTGCAGATTCGAAATTACGAAATTAAAGTTCAAATAGAAAAATCTGCATATTTTTTTATTTCGGTTTGTGACAAGAAATAATATTTAGTAAGACAAAAAAATCTACACATACAACTTGTTAACTATTTGTCTACCATGGCAATTTCAGAAAGTTTTAATAAGATACTTATTACACACACTTGTGAATAATATTGTTTGATATACAGGGTGGTTTTTTAGTGCGAGAGAGTCCATTATTTCCGTTAGTGTTGAACTTTCGTAAAATAGTTTCCTATAAAAGTTGTTGCCGCACAAAGTGTGCACATTTAAAAAATATCTTATATAATACAGAGTGTCTCAGAAAAGCAAGGCATTTTACAGAATTGCTATCACTTTGAGCAATCTGCACAATGACTACGGTATTTTAGGCAAACTGCAAAATGACGTACGCCTTACCGTACGCCCGTACATATGTATATGTATATGTATATACAGAGTGTCTCACCGGGAACCGCCGCGATCGATATCTGACAAACTATAGTTAGGAGATGTTTAAAAATTGGACAGTGTGTCCAAGTCATTGGAAGCAAGCGATTTAAAATACAAATTTTCAAGATGGACATTCTTCCGGTTATGCCGGAAGTAGATATCAACTTGCTAATGTTAAATGAAACACCCTATAAATTATTACATTTTTTCATTCTACTCAATGTTGATAATTATCAATACAAAATAATATAAAAATCAGTTCCAAAATTGAGTTGTGAAAACCGCCCAAAATCAATTTTTTCAAATGAAAACATCCATTTTTGATAATTTTATCTTATTCAGTATTTAAAATAAGGGTAAGTTTGTGTGAAGTTGTCTAATCCAATAGTGTCTAGTTTTCGAAATATTGTCAATTTAATGTTTTCATATGCATATGCCATGGCTATTTGTCGCATCTTATTTTAGATACTGACACTTTTAGTTGCCATGACGAAAGTGACCATTTTTAAAACAATCAAATGCCAAAGGAATGCTTTCAGCTGTCAGTTATCTTTTGAAAATAATTAATAATTATGCCCGGACGCTTAAATAATACAAACGAATTTTTCAACCACCGACATTTCATCTTTCACAGAAAAAAGTATTGTATTAACACATTCATGACATTTGATTGCTACATTTATGAAAAACATACATAAAAAAGTCAGTACAGGCAAAATTAAATAGATAGGGCCCTATCGACAAATTGGCAGCTTAGTGATCGTTTTCTCGGAATGATGCCTTATGGTCAAGCCTTGTATAAGAACCGGACCCTGAAACACGCGCTTTATGCGGTTCATATAGTTAATGCAACCCAATCAAAGCCGAACCGAATTAGTCTTACAGTACAAGTGTATTCTAGTGAAACAATGTGATAAAATGGCGAAATAATTTTAAGCAAGTAGTTGCCTCGGCAATACTTACATTTGCATTTTGCGTCGATTTCGCATAACTTTTTGTCGCGCTCTTCAACTATGGCACATATGTTTTGAATATGATTTTCCGTCGGTTTCTCGCTCATTATTAGACTATTTTTTTGAGATATCAGCTTTACAAAAACTAACACAACGCAACAAAATTATCGTTTTCAAATATTTTACTGACAGTTATGTCGCCGATTCGTTTTTGGTTTGAGTTTTGACATTGTTACAGCTTAGAATAACGTGTTTTTATGTTTTTTTTGGGAAATTCTTGGCAATATTGGTTTGCTTTTCTATAATATTCTGTGAATTAAAAGCGTTCAACTATCAGTGCTTACAAATAACAAAAATATAATTAAAAATTACGGGCGGAAGGTGTGACGTCACGTGTTGGCCATTTCGCATTTCAGTCATAACGTCACACAAGCGACATCCCAAGACCTCCAATCACTTGTCATCAACATCAACAAGTCTTCATTTATGTCATCAACTTGTCTTTATCTATGCTGCCAATACGACTACCACCAAAGTTGTCTTCATCTATGAATACGATGGCACTCTTTGCAGATGATGCGGCCCTTCTGACATCCTCATGTCGCAAGGACTGCATCAGGCAACAGCTCCAGCTTGCAATTGACGAACGACATCAGTGGTTCATTAAGTGGAAACTGAAGATAAATGCAGAGAAGGGTCAGGCCAGAGACAAGAAATAATAATCCCTTGTCTCTGAGTCAGGCCATACTTATTGGCAGGAAGCAGGACAGTGTCGATGGCAACATCACCATAGAGGGACAAAACATGGAATGGGAAAAAGATGCTAAATATTTGGGTGTTGTTTTAGATAAGCAGCTGACCTGGAAGAAGCACATAAAAACAGCCATCGACAAGGTTAAGGTAACAACTGCCA